TTAAGATCGATTTTAAACGATTTTTTCTGGTGCACTTCTTGAGCGTTATTCATAGGGACACTTGGTAATTTTATTTTTCCTCTGATTACAAGAACTACTACACACCTGAGCTGGGAAAGTCTGGTTGTCAATCAGGTGCTCTGATCCGCGATTGTTTTCGCATCCAAAATGAAAATGGAATTGTTGAAGAGCGTACTCGTCACACTCTAAAGGACCGCCACTAAGTTTAGCGCCCCCCTTTGAGCTGTCGATGTTGAAAACAGGAGAATGGCCGCCATTAAGCAGCTTTCCAGTTACTCGGCCACATGGGTTGTCAAAACTGATTTCGAGATCAGGATAGCTTTTCTTCTTCACTTTCTTTGTTTCAATGTTGACAGGTGACTGAAGTTGCCCGGCGCATTGTGGGAAGACTTGGGACCAGTTTGCTGGGCCTGGAGCTGATGAAAAGAAATACTAGCAGTCAGTGGGTATTCAAAATATACGAATGGACTGGGAAAAGAAAATAGTCCCTTGTTTACATTTGTTTTATAACGAGCTATATGATTGGCTATGGTTTATTTACGACATCGGACAGAATCGGAAAAAGTCTATCCATGATTTGGTTACTGGATGTTTTCAATTTCAAGACACGAAAGCCTGGTTTTATAGTTGGATAAATGATATTGCAATTTTTCCACATATAATCTTCTGTTCATAGTCTATACAAATGATGTTAATGGTTCCATGTAACCTTACCTTTTTGATCAGACAAGTAGGCATAATCTAATTGGGAAGTAGAAAGAATTTGATTAGTAGTTATCCCCTGATGCATTAGTTGATAAACTCCATATTTCTCAAGACCACTTAAAATCATTGTTAATATTGATTCACCTTCAGTATTTGGTCGTCACATTTTCATGCTGACTATTTGTGAAAATGCAGCCCAGTATAAAGCGTTTATCACTATAAACTAAATAGCAGCGATATTCCAAGTAATAATGATTTTTAGAGTTTTCTTGATTGTTTTCAGTCGATGTATTATTTTAGACAGTTGAATCGGACAAATCTGGCAAAAAGAATACACATTTGTTGGCCCTACACTCTAAAATAATGCCGTGAAACACATCAGAACAGATCTTGTTAAAGGAAATATCATATCAGAGTTAAAAATTGGTAAAAAAAACTATTGCAGAAAACTCACCTTGACACGCGACAGCGCCAATCATAGAAATTAGCCACAGAAGATACATCACTATAACTGGTCTGAAATTAGATATGATCCGATTAGACTAATCAACATATGAGAAACAAATTACTCGAGATTTGGCTCTAAAGTATAACAATATTGTTCTTGATATAAACAGCTATTTATCACGATATTAAATGAACAGCTTTAAGGGGTCGAGGTTATTTTGCTACAAGGATCAAAGAAAGGGAGATTTTGTTTCGAAGCGTAATTAAGGAGACTTCTAAATCCAGGAAGTGTTGGTCGTTTTGATGGAAATCTTTCGAAAATGAATTCACTGAGCTGCGCATGTTCAGCTGCGACACTGTCCTGATTTTTGGAGCAGTTTCATCGCACACTTTGTGACATACGATCGATGTTGTACTCTTTCCATTTGGATAAAAAAAACCAGTTTACCTGAATAAAAAAGCAAAAGAGTATTCGGTGGAGGAGTTTTCAACTTAAAGTCTCACATACACGAGATGAAAGTCGCGTACTGAGACGGCACGTGAGTTGATATAGTACGCATCAGTCTGGCACATGCACGTGCCTTACATCGTTACGCAACGATCATCGTTGCATGACAGTTTCAGCACAGGCACATGAGTTAAACGGTTCGTAAGAATTTCGGGTTGGATACTATACAATTCCCCGGAAAATGTCGCTTTCAAAATCGCATTTCCTCCAGAGAGCAGCGGCAGACAGTTTGCAAAAACAATATATTTGTAGAAAAGGTTGCTGTGAACGCTGTCGCTTATTATATACTTCGAAGTTCTACAAGAAAAGATGCCTTTATACTGTAAAAGTGCAAGACTTCCTGATACCCAAAACTATTTCAACTGAGAAGGGTTTGATATAATTGTTACAAAAATGTTAACATATTTTTCTTTGGCCAGGTATTAAATTGTTAAACTAATGTGAACATGATGTTTTTTGGCCAGATATTGGAGAATGTTTTTCAACAAAGCCTTTCTCGGAATTCGTGAATGTTATTTTCGTGTACTTAAGACTGATGATAGGAAAGTTGGAAATTAAGCGTAAAATGACACGAATTTGTGACGATAGGAAAATACTGATAGGTGAGTATTGATAATATTACAATTTCCATCAGTTTTCTGGACCGATTCTTGTTTGGTGTGATTATCTAGAAGTTTAACATTCAGAAAAAATTTCTGCTGTTGGCAGAGTTAAAAACCATGCTAGTCACGAACTCAGTTTGGTTATAAAACACAACCGATCTTAAAATTTTTGACGTGGTAACGTCGTGAGAGTTACAGATATATCAAATTGCAGCTACCGCATTGTTGCGATCTCGTTATCCAATGTTATCCGAGTTTCTCGAAAAACATGTAGTTTAGTAATCTTCACGAGATGCTAAGCTAATAAAGTATTGCTATCTTTTTTCAAAACTGAGTCAAAAGGAAATGTTCATAAAACTTATGAATTTTATTTATCAATAAAAAAAGAAAGTGTCAAATTAACCATAAAACTTTAAATCTTAAAACGGAAAAAGAAGCTGCTGTAACGTAACGAATTTATGATATAAAATCATCTGACTTGACTGGAAATCAAAACTGAAATTTCTTCACTTACTTGAAATTCTTCGCTTCTTGAAAAGACTTCTCCAATTTCGGATCTGTTTTCTTTGGCTAGTGTCTATGAATGTGCTTTTTGATTTCGTTGCAGCGAAATTTATGGAGTCGAAATCGATCAGTATCATCTGCAAAATATCCATAACGTCATTAACTCTTGTCAAAATAGTATTGATTCAATAGCCCTCACTTGTAGACATAAGAGCTCTCCTTATCTCTCTAAATGGTTACTATAGACCAAAATAAATATAAATATTTACATAAATTAATTAGGAAAAATCCTTTGTTTCACACAGTAGCATGTAAGAATCTCTATAATTGAACTCCTACGGAACAGGACAGTGAAAAGCTAGCCCCGATCACCTTTTTATGTCTAAACTATTCGGAGGAAAGAATTTTTAGCAATTCATTTCTTTTAGGAATAGAATATCACTGAAATATACTTTCGGCAAAGGGAGCTTCTGATTGGACAACCACGCACTTTTAACATCTTTACACGCATCATTTTATTTATATTGTTATATTTATAGTCATTTCGTATTCCCACGACATACGTCTGCAGCACGTGATCAGGACGTGGATGCTTTCCAATCCACTTATTCAACACGTGCATCGCATCAGCTAATTTTTTTATTTAGATGCTACTATTTTTCTTAATTGTTGTTGGTAAACGCTCAGATTAAAAATAAACTGAATGTGTAGTGGTATCGAAAAACTGGCCAGTCTAGCTGAATAATCTCTAACGACAAGCGGAAGGGTAAATTGGAAATGTTTACACGATCAATAAAGTATACTTTTCAGCCGCAGAACCATTGATATATTTCGATATTTCAACAAGTTGCAGTACTTGAAGATATTTTTTTAACCTGGGAACGTTAGCTGAATTTTAACCCACTAAGAGTCCTATGGTGTTATCTTGTTTTCATGGTGAACAGTTTTCTTAAATATTTCTGATGCTTTTTTACGACTTCCCCGTAGTACCGAAGTAACGCCATTTGAATTCAGCAAATTGATCTTTAAGCGAAAGTCAAGAGTAGACGAAGCCAGGCAAAAAACACTTTTCGCGAAAGGTCTGAAATATCCAATTTTATTACGTAAGCTTGCATAGGTGAAATATATTGACAATGTTGATGTTCCTGTTACAGGTTGGAAACAAAACAAAACCAACTGATTATCTCAATATTGACATTTCCCACTTAAAGTAAACTTTACACGGCTTTTAATGTTTCAGTGGAGATCTATTTAGCGCAAATTCCTCATCAAAATCCTGTGCCTTTAAAGACTTAAACTCTACAGTTTCAAAAAATTAAGGAAAATGTGAAACAGCTGGTGAAAAATTTGTGTATCATCACGTTCCAGCAAGTTTTTTAAATCCTATTTTCAGTCTTCTAGTTTGAGAAGAGATCTATAATTTTCGTGTAAAGAATTGCTGGAAGTCAGAGATGATTCCTTTTGTTTCTCTCATTTAAAGTGTAGCATTCGAATGAGGAATATCTAATTCCATTTAAAATAAAAATTTTCTCGTCAATAAATTTATTTTACTCACGCTTTTCTTTAGTTCCTTACTAAATGAAATTGCTGTCACAAAATAGATTTTATTTCCTTAGTTATACGAAGTGTTTTAAGGTAACAAAAAAACAGGATAAAATGGTCGGGTAACCATAAACAGTCAATAATATCCCAAAGGAAGCTGTTTGCGTCAAAGAAAACTTATTATTATAATCGGGAAATTACCTCTTAATGGAGAGGAAGTAGTTTGGTTCAAGTTTGATTGAGAACTCTGTTGCTGTTAACACACCCTGAAAATTTAGCTTCTTATCCATCGTTGCAATTGCACTATTCCTCGCCATCGTCTGCTACTCTCGTTCATTTTTTGTTTATCATTTTCAAATGAAGTCTCCTTTACGATGAAATATATTCCGCTGCCCAATGTTTGTCTCAAAATACCGGTTTTTAGCGCCTCTAAGCTGATTCAGACTTCCATTAAAACTCAGTGTTCGATATAAATAATTGCCGGAGGTGGAAATCTATTCGATATGTTGTATAACCGCCCGTCTATGACTTATTTCAGATATTTTTCAATTTGATTCTTTGAGCGCTAAAATTGCTGCTTAGGTATTTCCAGTAAGAAAAGTTTCCCATTTTAGCAGACTAATTCCACACCCTTCTATCGAGCTAAAAATATCCCTATTTTTATATGTCTCTAGAACAATTCATTTCCACGTGTTCAGCAAGTGAATAGCAGCGATTAATAATAAATGCATCGTAAATGACTCAGCTGAAGAAAGACTTGAAGATGAAAGCTAAGGGTTCCCTTCTTTCAGCGCCGCTCATTCTTCGTAAGTATATTTAGATCAAAATTTCAGTTTCATTGAAGTTAACCGCCATATTCTGCGGCCATAAAAACTGTATTGCCTTGTTTGGCATCCAACTAAACTATTATTATCGTTATTACAGTCCTTGCTACTCTTGTCATTATACTTATTATTGGTGTATCATTACTATAATTGCTTTTATTGTCATTGTTTATGTTTTAACTGCATCGTATCGAAAAACACATTGTATGTTATGTATCGAGTGCTCCATGGTTTTAAGATTTATTGAAAGCTTTTTGAGTTACACTACCATGGCAATAAACAGCCCTGTAAACTCATCTTTGTCGAGACATTTTTCAAGAGATGTGGCATCGAGTTAAATAATAATGAGAGTTCCAGCGACTGCAGACGACTTTTAACACTGCTGTAATCGTTAGTAATACAAACTACTGGCTTAAAGACTGTTGACGAAAGGCTAGTGAATGTACACAATAAGTTTAGACAGTCACTATTTGAATTCAGTGACCGCTGTTCCGATAAAAACAACTCAGTGACTTGACCTGTTTCAAAGGGCTAAATATAAAACACATGCTAAAGAACATTTGGAGACGGGAAAGAATTGTGCACAGCACAATGCAACAAAAAAGTGAAACTTCCAAAAGTCAAAGTTACCCACTACAGAAAGAAGAATTTTTTGATAATTCAGGAGTTACACTATCGTAAACTGAGCAACTTCCACAAATTATAAATAACTATTTGAATGAATTATATTTGTGATAAAACTGCATTTTGTAACTCAGGACTTTTCGTTGCTGGTATCTTTAGACTAAAAAGAATAATGAGAAGGAGCTGGCAAAGATACATTGCATAAATTTGAACACTATATTCATTACAGCAGCTTAGAGAGCGACCAGGATCTTAGAGACGTCATTGATAACATTTTGCAAATGTTGTTCTTATTTTTAGCACAAGGTATTCGTGAAATAATAACACTTAAAAAACTAAAAAGATACCTTTTCTTCAATGATTTACCAATTCTTTGATATTTCACGATCATGTCATTGCATAAATGGGAACACTATATTTATGACAACAGCGTAGAGAGCTTCAAGTATCTTAGATACGTCATTGATAACACTTTGCAAATTTTGTTCTTATTTTTAGCACGAGGTATTCGTTAAATGATATCGTCAGTTACTAAACACTTGAAGAATCCGTGATTGGTCGAAACTTGCGTCATCCTTACAGCCAATCATATGCAAATCAGCTTGGCTTTTTCCCACCGTCTCAGTGACGTTTTTCTGCCCCTGAGGTATTAAATATCAAATTCATTCTTCTTCCTTTGCTCAGAATTTTTATGTCTTTGTTTTTTATCCTTTGCGATTTGATTTTGTTTTCGCAACACTAAACCGACAGCCTTTTCATTTCAACATTTCTTGTCAGACCACTAAGGAAAACGTACTAAAGAGCAAAAAATTTTCATTTTAGGAAAGTGGAATTTTTTTGTGTAAACGCATATCACTGGTCATTTCTAAAGCAAATGATATTTTTCCTTCTTTAACGAATACCAACCTTTATATGCCGCCTGGAGTCTCTTAGAATTTATTTCATAGTTGTGTCTTAGTTCTTTGGCGCCTGAAATAATTAGAGAAGAGCCTGTGTTCAGTTTTTTTTTAAATTGCAATCATTGATAAAAGTTGAGAACTTGAAAATTATTCCTTGAGAGCTGATTATGACAAGAACGGAAGCAGCTCACTTGGAAAGTTGAAAACAAACATTCAAATGCCATATCAAGTTCTGGAAAAAATTGTGCCCAAATTTGAATTTTTTCATCTAAATGTCCCTTGAAAGACTTCTCTTCAATTTTGGATCAGTTTAGATTGCAATAAACGAAATTTTTACATTTCCCAAATCGACCATTAACTAATTAGTTCGGATTTCCTACCGGTAAGAATTAAGTGTTTTTAAATTTTTGCCAAAATGATATTGCTTAGATCGTCGTTTAGTAAAATGTAATGGTCCTCACTGTGTCTGCTGATCGTAATTACATCATAAATGAGGCATTTATTCGGTTTCCAGTGAATAGTCTCATTTTTAATGTACCTTAACCTGAATCTTGACAAGAGGTAAAATGAAAAGTTGATACCTTTACACAAAAATTTTCTAAGGGGCAAAACACTTTTCACGATAATGATATCACTTCAATATAATACGTCTACAAAATACAGGTTCCTGATAGGATAATTTTTCTTTAATGGGAATATCCCTACGTGACGATCATATGATCAAAGCATGCGCACGTTGCAAAATTTGCTCCCACGGTCACCACGCTGCATGGTCACTACACTGGTAAGTCTCCCTTGTTGATACTTTTGCTCACCGTTTTTCGATAGTGGGTCATTCTAGCAAATATACAAAACTTGTCATGTCTTTAGATAAATTTAAAATCATTTTTTTGACTACGTAAACCAGAACACAAACACTTAAAGAGCTAAAAAAAGACGTTCATTAAACTTAAATCATACAAGCTAAAACGAACCTTAAGACAATACTATTGTGAACCACTGAGATTGTTCAGTTCTCACGGTATTCTTTGGCGTCGCTATGCATCCGGCGGTAAGTGACCACGATGTAATCATCTAACCAATTAATTTAATATCAAATAAGGTAACCTGACCTCAGCAGACGAGGTTTACAGTACACTAAAAAAACAGTTGGCAATAAATGTCACAATCCATTCAGGTCAAGACAGGCATCTTACCGCTTCATCTAATTGCTGTAGCTGGCACTTCAGGAACGAGTATCTGGCAAACTTAGCCAACCACCTTGCCACTTGCGAGTGCTTGGTAGCGTATACTAATCTGAGTTAATGTTTATTGATAATGAGTCTTCGAACTGAATACTTTTATTAACGACTTTTCTTGTTCTGAAGATCTTTCTTCCGATAAAAGATCATAATAAATTGTATTTCGAGAGCCTTTCCCAAAATGAATAACTAACGATCAGAACCTTAGAATTAATACCAAAAAAAAAGATTCACATCGTCACCTGAATTTTAAGATAAGAAGGTGAGCAAAGACGTGACGGCTTAGAGACTAGCCACATCGAGGGATTGCGCGCCGGGCAGTTTGCGCTCCACTCCTAGCCAAGGCGATGCACTGAGCGTTTGAACAGCATAGTTAAATCTTACAATGACTTTCTCTCCTCTCAGGTGTGTAAATGGTGATAGGGAATAATCTGGAAAAATGTGACGATAGACTGCTGTTGTAACATGCCATAGCTGAGCATCTCATATACAGGTGAAGTAACGATATTCTCATTTGCTGAATAGTATTGAAGGCGGGATAAATTCTGGTGAATTTATGTGGGCCATTGGGCTCCTGAGAGAACTTTACCCACATATGCACACTCTTCTAATATCTCAGGATTTCCCCAAGCACAGAGTTGCTTCGGCTGGAATGACAGATTTGCTGATTTAATTGTTGGTCATAACTTTCGCGTTCATTCTGGATAAGGACATATTCTATCAATTTACCCCCCTGTAATTCTGGTGAATTAAAAAAAAACTTCTAACACTACACTCACAACAAGCCTGTTGTCTTTCAATGGTATTTATTCGTACACTACAATTCACAAAGGTTGCGTAGTACGTAACCAACTCTGTAGAAATGCATGCATTGAGATATACCGTTGTTTTAGTGGTGGCCTTCGTTCTACTTTTCATCTAAGGCTTATTTATTGTTGATGGATTAAGTATTTCTGTGATTACATTTGTCTATCAATAGCTCTTATGCACGATCACGTCAATTCAAGAAATCCCCCCTCCCCCCCAAAGCTTCGTTTGCTTTAAAATCTCCATGAACCTTTACCGATCGGCTTTGTTTTAAGGAGTATTTTTATTTTAGTGTCTTGGTTTCCCATCAGAATTCACTAGTTGGTACCTTGAAAGCGAGGCTTGGGGGAGAAATTAGCTTTTCCGACGTAAATAGGCAAAGGGTCTAGTCCTATGCTTTATCTTATTTCGATTAGATATGAATGTCTTATGTTTCACATTTTAGTTTCACAATCACTCTGTACATTGCCAGTGACTGTTGTTACTGTTGTAAAATCACGCTAAATTGTGTAAAAGATAACTGGCATTAATCCTTGCAATGTCATCGTAAATTGTGACAAGTTCTACAGTTCAGTGACTTGATTTGGTAATCCGAACACAGTGTCCTCGTGGCTCCCAGCCCATTGCTGCAGAATGAATTCAGATTTCCTTTCACGTTTATTCAGCTGCCTGGAGGCTCGTCTCCGTCTTAGAGAAGACAAAAAGTAAAATTACAAAAAAAAAGGTTACGATTTCAATTATAAGTTAAGAACTGATAAGAGCTGATAAGTTCAGTACAGGAGATAAAAAAGAAAAAAAAACAAAGAATGAATCGTTTGTCTGGAAGTGATAAAAAAATTGTCTCTCTTTCCCAAGAGTGGCTATTGTAAGTTAAATAACCTTGTCGAAAGAGCAATTTGGCGTCTAAATATTCAATAGGCTGCCTTGTGCTACCAGTCGATATTTGTATAAGAAACAGGTCACCTTTCATCTCTCCAGGGATAGCACAGAAGGAAGAATTACTAACACTCAAATACAGCCGCATTACCTGCAAGCAACGACGCTCCCTATTATCACAAAAACGATTGCAGCTAATGATGCACCACCAATTATGATCCATTTCATATGTGACGCAATTATCCGGGACTCACGAGCGGGCGGACTTGCTTCATCTGCATCAAATGCCCGGATGTTGTAAACTTCTTTATTAATTCTGGCTGACAGTCTGGCTGATGACGTTTTGAGAGCCTGCAAGAGTGCAGCCTGGGTCATGAGGTAGCTTTCTTGATTTTTGGAATGAAGAATGACGTAGAAAGCTATGACTAAATCAGCTTGCTCTTGTTGTGGATAATGTTTCAACACATGAACAGTTGTGGCAAGGATTCCTGTTGTGATCGACCTACAGTTTATTGAATCAATGAACAAACATGTTAGTAATTATTAAGGAAATAATTTGTTCGTACATTCTCAGGGATATTAAGTTTTAATCACATTAACATGTTTTCACCAAATACTCTGCACATCTTTATTATGTGTTCTTGCCTATTCGTTCTTAGTTGGTAATTCCTTCTCGTAACAAAAATTCGTCTAGATTCTATCATCTTTTGGCCTACTGTAGTATGAAGACTTTTAAACTGTGTATGGAAGAATTCCTAAAGAACACAGAATCACAGAGATCAGTAATCTTTTCTTAACGATCAATTCTTGATTTAGTCACTCATTAAGATTTAACCTTCTTTCTTTCGCCAGGTAAAGAACACCGGCCTCGTTCATGCGATTGCGGCCAATCAGTGCCTTACCTTTTACTCAGTTTAGAATGAAGGCAGTTTTCGTTCTCATTCTCTTGACAATACTCGACCACAACCTGGGCAACGATATCTTCAAACAACTGAGAAATTCCATCTTCCCACTGTAATTTGTACAAAGGTAAGTTACTTCTAAATAGTAAGGAATTAAGGAAAAGTTCTGCCTTCTCCTTATTCATTAAACTAATTTTGTCCTGAAGCACCTTAAAAAAATTTTAAAACAATTATATGACAATAGCACTAAAAACGAGTCACGATTACACCAGATGAAAGATTTAGCTTTACCTCCGATATGTCTGTATTTCTTATTGTCATAACAACAGCATTATTAGAGGCATCCTCTGGGACCCGATCAGTTGTGCTAGGTTTCGTGGCTGGGCTTTCTGTGAAAAGTGGTTCCCCTGTGGTTGGATAGATTTCTTAAAAAAGAAATAAAATGGTCGTTTAAACGATAATATGTTAAGCAACTGTTTGCAAATTACTCATTGGGGCATATGATCAAAGAATTCCACCACAGAAGTATAATCTCTCACGATGTGGTCACTGCGTATGCAGATCGTGACATTTCGACTGCATACTGCTGGTCTTCCTCAGTCGATAACCAGCATTATGCAGTTGAAGCGTCGTGACCCATGTCCACAGCGACCACATCAT